TCCCCTCTGTCACGGTTTTGATCCGTGGGACATCTGGAAGATTTGCATGGGCCCAGCAACTCTGTCTTTTACCAAGAGGAGCTAAAGCAAATCAAAAGGTCTCTGTCAAAGCCCGTAAAGAAATCTTTAACTTAGAGATGTTCAGCAGAAATTCCACTAATGTGAGACAGCCCCACAGAGCTGGTGATTATACATTAAGGCTGAGCCACGGGGCCTTTAGCTGTAGGTAATGTGACACATCTCTGGTGACTCTTTACGACTTGTGATTAATATTAAATACAGGCTGTGAAATCGCTGTTGCCTTCTAGACTTGTTTAAGGGGAGGGGGCATTCTCTTTTTTTTTTTCCTGAAAGCATCTTCTGAGGTGATGGGGCAATGGACAGTGTATTTAGTGTGTAGGCATGAGTGTTGGGGCTGCTTTTAGGATCTCAGGCAAAGCCCTTGCAGCAGAGGCAGCGAAGTCTGGAGGTGTAGAACGAGATGCTGCAGGGAGAACTTATTGAAGCTACAAAGCCCAGTGTTGCAAAGATGGCTGTAAACCTGCTGTGAAAAAAAAAATTATCCAGATGAACTCTGGAACAGCTCTGGAGAGGAATATTGGAGGAGAAATATCCCAATCTCATTTTACAGTAAAATCTCTTACTGCAGTTGTCTAGTGGAGCATGTCCTTCTGTTATCAAAATTCCTGTCTGTCTGAACTTTTCCAAATCTTCGAACTCTTCACAAGCCCCTCAGCAAAATAAAGTAAATAATAATGTAGCTGAAATGAGGGCCTGTCAGTCTCAGCTGTCACGTTCACATTTGGATGAATCTGGTCTCTGCAAAGCAGCCTTTGTGAAGACCTCCGCGTGATGCCTTTGGAGCTGCGCTGCCACTGAAGCTGAGCCATTTCGCTAAATAGTGTCAGTCCAAGTGTGCTACCTCCCACGCCAAAGGAGAAGTCGTGTCCTGGCTGCCAACCTCCTTACCCGTTTTAAGGGAACTTTTCCAACTTAAAGGCATTCTGTAACTTTAATGTTAACAGCTTTGTCCTTTTGAAGCTTAATTGATAGTAAATAAATTTATAAAGCAGCACTCAAGATGTAATTAATGGGCTTGCTTGCTTGGACCTTATGCACCTGCAAACCTGCACCTAGATCTTTTGTCGCTTTCATTGGTAACTTCAAGTTTTGAATTACATACTAACAGTTTAGAACATAATGTAGTAACAATGTCAAAATTTCTGTATGATACATTATGCAAGCCCTTTTGATATTCTGGCAGTGTGTCCCTCTCCTGACCCACAGCATTGCTGCTGTTCTCTTCCAGGACTTCTCAGCTTGACTTGTTGTGATCATCATAGTCAGCAGGGTTAAAATGGAGGCTTCTCAAACAGCTGGTAGCTTTCGCTCAATACAGTTAGAATGGGCTGAAAATAAGATGTTGCCATGTAAGCTTGCCATTTTTGGGGGGGATTTGCAAGTGCTTAGAGGTTAGGTGGTAAGTAGGGTTCATAGGTTCCAGGAGTGCAGCCACCAAAATGGGCAAACTGTGTCTCTCAAAATTTACAGCCACATTTTTAATACAAGTCTATTAGTGTAAAGTACTTACTGAATGCTTTTTAATGATACCTCTCAGTAATGGATTAGTGTACTGGTGGTGGTGGTGGTAAACGTTTTCCGTCTATTGTAATAAAGTATTGTCTAGTGTTACGATGCCTTGAATGTAAAGACTGTCCCCCTTTTTTGTCAGACTTTTGTACCAGAACCTCGACCAGCTCCTAAAAATGATGTTGGATTGAAATACAGTGTGAAGCACCGCCCTTTTCCTGAAGAAGTGGACAAGATCCCATTTGTGAAAGCTGACTTGAGCATTCCAGATTTACATGAAATTGTGAATGAGGAAGTAAGTAACTCTTAGTCTCTGAGTTAATTTTGTTCTTGGGTTTTTTGTCTGTTCATGAATCATACACTAATGTCTTACTGTATATAGTTTTACTCTTTAGCTTGACTAATTTCATATTAATAGAATAATAACCTCTGCTAACTAATGAAATCTGTGCACTTCTCCAGGAAGATGATAATGCTTTGACATGTTTTTTGGGAGGCGCTGCTCAACACGTTTTGTTACAGATCCTACTATCCTGGTATTGCTAGGAAGCAATGACTTGCGTTTTGTTGCTACTTCTGGGGAAATGGAAGGGGCTTTTTTGAGACCTCCTGGGGAAGGAGGAGGGTGTGTATCTCCAACATATTTTAAAGTTTCATAGTGCCAAATGTGTTTTAGTTTCTGTTCACTTGAAAGGGAGAAGCTGTAGCTGATACTGGATACATAAATTTGCAACAGCTCTCCCATGCAAACAGGAGTGTTTAGATGTTCACTTTGTAACATTGCAAGGTCGTCTTGATAGCGCTTTAGTAAACATCCTGGTGGTGGAGTTGCAGCTGCTGCTCTGTCTGTGACTTACAACTGTCCTAAATGATGAAGGTGTTGTCTTACTGGATCTTAGTGATCTTGGTGGAATCAGCATTTCATGCAATGTTTTTCAGCTCGAAGAGCGACACGAGAAGCTGAGGAATGGCATGGCTCAGCAGATTATTTTTGAGACTTCCATAGATCAGAAAAGTGAAGAGGAGTGGCGGAAGAAGAGCTTTCCCGATCCGATCACGGAGTGTAAGCCCCCACCACCGGCACAGGAGTTCCAGACAGCACGCCTGTTCCTCTCTCACTTCGGGTTTCTCTCACTAGAGGCATTGAAGGTGACCTGATGCTTCTTAGCGTTGTGCAAATGCCCTCAGTACCCATATGGTCTGGCAAAAGAAGAAAACTAAGTTTTGTTAGTGAAAGATCTTCTGTGTAATTCCAACTACTGTTAAGCTGTAGTCTGATCAAATAAAGTGATGGATTCCAGTCTTCCAGGATTGAGAGCAGGGCTGTGAAAGGCCATGCCTCAAGTTGAACGTGCTCTGAATAGGTGGCTGTATCTTTATTTTTGCAGTGGGTACATAAGCTATCGCATTCGTGTGTTCATACTTGAAGTCATTCCCTCAGCTTGAGTTAGGTTTTGGGGTGGTACTTTAAGAGTTTCTGAAATATGACTGCCTTAGAAGTTCTTCTCCAGAGATGTTTGTGCTGAAGTGGCTTAATCGTATATAAGTACATATATTGGGAGTACATATAGGTTGTAGAGCTTTCTTTTTAAAGTTAAAATAACAACAGTTTATAGAGATGATCCATATTATTAATCTGAAATTCTGCCTTTTACCTGTGGATTTTCCCTTTTATTCATTGCATTTCCTTCCAGAAAACTGTCAACAAAAGTAGACAATGGAGCTTTTGCAAAAATGATGTCTAAAAGTGCTTAGTATTTTATATATAATTGATATGTAAGTTAATAAATATGAAACTACACATGTCATAGAATCATAGAATAGTTTGGGTTGGAAGGGACCTCTAAAGGTCATCTAGTCCAACCCCCCTGCTGTGGGCAGGGACATCTTCAACTAGATCAGGTTGCTCAGAGCCCCGTCCAGCCTGACCTGGAATGTGTCCAGGGATGGGGCATCCACCACCTCTCTGGGCAACCTGGGCCAGTGCTTCACCACCTCAGCGTAAAAAATGTCTTCCTTATATCTAGTCTGAATCTCCCCCCCTTTAGTTTAAAGCCATTCCCCCTTGTCCTGTCGCAACAGGCCCTGCTGAAAAGTTTGCCGCCATCTTTTTTTATAAGCCCCCTTTAAGTACTGAAAGGCTGCAAGAAGGTCTCCCCGAAGCCTTCTCTTCTCTAGGCTGAACAACCCCAACTCTCTCAGCCTTTCTTCATAGGAGAGGTGTTCCATCCCCCTGATCATTTTCGTGGCCCTCCTCTGGACCTGTTCCAATAGGTCCGTGTCTTTCTTATGCTGAGGGCTCCAGAGCTGGACGCAG